AGGTCACATCTACCCCCTTCAATTACTCCTCCGAAGTCTTCTTCTCTTCTTCGGGTCTCACATCTTCCACAGGAGATGACGGCAATGTCACATCAGCAGCATCTACCACCGTCCCTCCTACTTGCACAACAACATGCTCAAGAATTTCCTCACTTAGAGTGAGCTCCTTCACCAATTCTTCGCTTGTCTTCGGTTGAGGTACTTCCTTACTATCCACAAATCGTGTCCGCTCAGAAGACAGAGAGTTTGAACTTACCGTCTCCGTTCCCTCCTTCAAAAGGTTCTGCCGTTACATGTGCTGGAGCTTCAATTAGTACCCCCGAAGTTCCTTCGATCTCCACAGGCTGGGTTGACTCGCCAACTGCAACTTCGAGTGTATTCACAATTGGGGCAACTGTCTTTTCCACGCTACTATCCGATACTTCGGTTAACACTAATCCTCGACTCGCCTTCCTCTTTAGTCTCGCGCGAGTTCTCGACTGCCTGATTACTTCTACCTTCGTTTCAACTCTTCTGACCTCTAGCGCCAAATCGTCCTTGTCATCACTCACCACTTTCCTTCTCTTCGCCAATCGCCGTTCTGGCCTCTCTCGACTTGGCAGAACGTCCATCAGAATGGATCCTCGGGCTGTCATCAACGGTGAGATTGAGGGTCGACGGTTATCGTCTTCGGTCCCTTCACTGGACTCAGCTGTCAAGATTTTCCGCTCCCTCAAAAATCGCTTCAGCTCCTCCCTTGTGAGCAAGCCCATGCCTCGATAGAAATTCTCAAGGAAGGGAGTCAGATGATTGATCAACATTCTCGTCCATCGGAAGCTCGCATTCACCCAGACAAGATCATAAAAGATTCTTGCCTAGTGTACCCTCTGTCCATTCAAGATTCGCTTGAAGAACCCTACTTGCCAGGCTGTCACATACGTCGTGCGCGCCGGTCGCAAGATGTGCATGATCCTTAGTGCAATCGCTCGTCTCTTCGGATCCTGATAGTCGGCGGTCTTCCATCCATTTGTCCCCTTCCTCCCTGGAAGACTGGCCCGTAAGAAAATTCTTCTTTGCGCGTAAATCCCACGCTACTCTTCTCGAACAAGAGATCCCCGTCGCTACCTACACTCGGTCCCATCACCTTCGCCCAATGCTCAATCGTCCACAGCATGGGATTACCTCGGAGATACTCGCCCTCGGTCTTGTTCTTATCCATAATCTCCTTGCAGATACTCGCCGAGACGCAATTCGCTCAGCTCGCGCCTAAAGGGTCGTAATTCCTCGTAGGGTAACTTCAAGGGAACCAATTTCCGCACCTTGTCATTCTTCTTGGGCGCCATATCTTCAATTTGCGTCTTCGCCCTAGCGAGGTAGTTCGATTCCACCCTCTCTCACTCTCGCTCGTTCTTGCTCAATATCGCAATGTCTGCACGAATGCTCCTCGTACTGCCCTTACTCTTGAAGCCCTAACATTGCCTCCTCCCGCATCCAGTAGAATTCTCGACGCGTGCAAACGTCGTCCGGCCCGTTGTGCAATTCAAATTGATTCTGATGTCTTCGCCGAAGACGCAGCTCTTGTACTGTCCAGAAAAGGCTGCGCCAAAGATCCGAAGACCCGAAGATCTTCGGGCGCAGGCAAATACTAACTAATACTACCATAACTCCTCAAAAGCTACTCATTCTAATTCATACGGTTACCTTTCACACAAATATATTTAAGTTTTGTTGATTTTTTTTTTTAATAAAAAAACTAGGCACCACACAATGATATTATCATAAAATCATGATACAGACATTGCAAGTCATGTGAGAATGGAGAAGACTTTGAAGAGCATCCAATGCGTTTGCTTTTGATCCAAAGTACGGAAGGATGTGGAGTCTTACGTTTGAAGTTGTGTTGTTTGTCAACAAAACAAGACAAGTAATCAAAGAATAGATGGCATATTTCAGCCTCTCACTATTCCCGAACAGCGATGGAGCATGTCACCATGAATTTTGTATGTGAGTTACCAAAAACTTTGTTAGGAAATGATTTAGTGGTGGTTTTTGTCTATAAATTGAACAAGATAATTCACATCAAGTCAACCACAAAAACATTGACGGCTTTACAACTTGCTCATTTGTACTTAGATGATGTTTTTGTGAATAATGGATTTAGCAAAATCTTAATCACTGATAAATCTATTCATTTCACTAGTTTGTTTTGGAAAACTTTGTTTAGTTTTTTCAAAACTAAATCAGCAATTTCAACAACTTATCACCCTCGAACTGATGATCAAACAGAGAGAATTTGTACAAAATGTAGAGTATATGCTACGGATATTCACATTAGAATAGCAAGAAGAGTGAAATACTCTTTTGATTCTTGTGAAATTTTTGCATTTTGTCCAAATATATGGCAATATCAGATTAGCAATAGCAATGTATATTCTGAAATAAAAGAGGCTACTAATTAAATTGACATAAAAAAGTTATTAATTTTTTTTTTCTATCAAGTTAAATTTAAACATTTTTAATTATTACATCAAAAAATTCAAATTATTTTAAAATGCCAATTTAAACTTTTCAAAAGTGAAAACTTAAATATATTCAAATTATTTTTATCACGGTTCATTTAATTCAAATATTTATGTTGTAATATGGTTTTAAAATTATTTAAAGTTTTTATTTTAATGCAAATTTAGATCAAATCTTGAGATGAACTATGAGATGAATTACCACAAAAATATATATTTCATATGAAATACTTGCAGAAATAAAATCTTGCATTATTGTTTGCATTTTTGTTAGAGACATAAAATTAATTCAACAATCTATTAGTTAATGTTTTTGAACTTTGAATTTCAAAATTATATTATTTAATCTTTTCTTATGATTGATTGACTTATTTAATTCATAATTAGAATTTTTATTGAATCTGATGCACATTGATCAAATTATAGCATATTTTGCAATCCAAAATTATTTTTTTGTGAGATTTTAAGATATCAAGTCATATTCAAAATATTTTTAGAAATAAATTGAGATTATACATCCACTTGATTTTAACCTAAAAATGATTTATTAGCATCTACGAATGCATCTCGTGTTTTTTAATAAGATTTTATCTCCACTTATAATCATACACATATTTTTTATTTCAAAATGAACATATCAATATCATCAATCTTAATTTGAATATCATGATTTTCAAAATTGTGGTATGATCTTCATGTTTCCCTAATCCAATTTGATGATCATTAAACATAAAAATATAATTCAATCTTATCATTTGTTATATAATGTTAAGTGTTAACAAACAATATTGTGTAAAATTAATTCTTGAATATGTAAAGCACAACTTTGCTATCATGTTTGAAATAATTCAACTCGGTGGAATCTCAATTTTCTAAACTATCAATGATGGTTTTGGCTATTTATTTAATACGTTCGTGATGGTGACTATATGCAATCAGAGAGTATGGATAGGATTTCTGCCTTCTTATTATACAACTTAATGTTACAAGTTTATTCTTAAGAAAAAACCGTGAAGAGCATACAAATATATTATTGGCCCAGAATAGGAGAAAATGTAGAGACTTATGTTCAAAGTTGTGTTACTTGTCAACAAAACAAATCAAGTAATCAAAAACCAACTAGATTATTACATACTATCATTCTTTTTGAACTCATATGAGAACATGTCATTATGAAAATCGTATGTGAATTATTAAAACTTCGTTAGGAAGTGATTCACTGTTGGTTTTGGTGGACAAATTGAGCAAGATGATTCACATCAATCAAATCACAAAAACAATAACAAATTCACAATTAGCTCAATTGTATATAGATGCAGTTTTTGTAAATCATGACTTGAGTAAAAATTAGCATTTTTCCAAACCATGTGTTAATCACAGGTTTGCATTTCATTAATTTATTTTGAAAAATTTTGTTTAAATTTTTCAAAACAAAACTAACAATGTTAACGATGTATCATACTCAAATTAATAAACAAACAAAAAAAATGAATAGAATTATAGAAGATTTGCTACAAACATTTACATTAAAAGAGTGAGAAAAGTGGTACAATATTTTTACTATTGTGGAATTTGCCCATAACATATTAATGCATTCACACAAGTGTGTCTTACTTTTTCATGTATGATATTACTCTAAAATCTATCACATTAAAAATTGTAAAACATAGATTGAACGCACATTACACACACACTCACCATTGACAAATAACATGGTAAAAAAACATAAACTTTACATAGAGTAAAAAAACATATATTTACATTCTTTTTAGTCAAATGTGGTTGTAAAAACCATTTTCCGTCAATGTTCCATTTTAAATTGAATTAATTCAAAATTAATGCTCAGAAAACTAAATATAATTTAAAGAATTTTAGATTTAAAACATAAATTAAATCTGGATGTTGAGATATCTAAAAGATTTCATGACACATCAAATAAATTAAAACTGAGTTGCTGACAATACATCCGCGACAAAGGACTTTAATTGTACAATAAACCCTGTCAGATGTATATATATATATATATATATCAATGCACAATTCATCAAAATACGGATGTTGCTGCAGAGGTTGAGATCTCCAAAATTTGCAAGGAACGTCATGCTACTTTTTTAACTGGTTTCTTTTGACACTTAGTTCTTAATGATGAACCAACAACAATGAAATACTATCATTTTTGGCAAAGATAAAAAAATGCTATATTCTGAGTTTTGATTTCGATATGTGTGATATAAAGCATCCGAGTAATTGTGATTGTTGTAGGCGATGTAACAGTACCTATATATGTAAGATATTAGGCAATTTGATTCTTGTCATAAAATGATGCTCAAGATTTTTGACGATTGCAATTGATAGCTGTTCAAGTACAGCATTATGTACACTTTTATCTAAGTGCTTTAGATCCAAGTGTAGTATCAAGTAAAGCTTTCGTGTGGATTGATATCCAGTGTCCCACGTGTAGAGAGAAATCAATTTTAAGTTTTTAGGTGGAACTTCATAGGGAAAAATTGACCGAAAACTACCTACCAAACTTAAATACCCAAAACAAGGATTAGCGTTCATTTTTCGACGAAAGAACAAGTACAACTCCTGGAGGCCGGGAAAAGGTATACAAGGCAAACTTCGATGCGTTGCTTGTGTTCATTTGCTAGCAGACTTCAGGCACTTAAGAGTTCGAATGTATGCATGACGACCTCGTGACTCACTCTGGATCTTCGGCTGTGACGTAGCCTAGACTTGGAGAAACAGTTGATATATTCTGGAAGGCCGAAGTAATGTTTCAAAAAGGTTGAATGTACACAACATCTCACGGAACCCAAAAGACCTCTTGCTGGTAAGAACTTGAGGGTTCTCTTTCCAGAACAAAGGTGGCCAGGGATTTCCAACTCGCAAATACAAATAAGGTCAAAAGCCTTTGCTCAGAATGTCCTTCTACTCCTTGGCGGGTCTAGGACCCATTTCATTTCGCTAGTTCTCCCTATGTCTTTGTCGCCCTCTATTTCCAGTTCTAACAACCTAGAAACACCGTAGTAACATAAATTTATCCACCAGGTCATGTGGGTGGACAAGAATACCTGGAGACAAGACATAATAAAAGCTAGTAATGCAACTCAGTATTCACACGCTGGACTATGATTTTATCGACCGGGTATTTTCAATGCTGATAAGTTCCACTGCCTCGCAATCCTTGTCAGCTACCTGATTGTGAGACTCGCTCCAGGATGGCAGTTTGTCTCATCATTCTCAGTCCCGGTTCTCAATGTACTATCCCACTTATTCTACAACTACAAATCGCTGCTTCTCGTACACATTGATAACATGCTGCAAGAATAATAAGAATAAAAAAAGGGTGTTAAAAAGGCCCAACTTGCAGCTGCGTGTCATACATCGATGTGTCTCTTTCAGATCCTGTGATGAAGTACGTTCAGAGTTCTACACTCTTCCGGAAGCTTGGACATAAATACTGCGTATAGGGTAAGCAGGTATCCTGAAATTACAAAGAAGGAGAAAATTCTACTCACTTGGCCTGCAGGCGATTTCCTTAGAGCTAATTGAATCTGTGCCATTTCTGCTGGAACTTCTTCAAACGCTGGTGTCCATGCACCATACCTGCCAAACGTGGATCAAAGCGATCTTAGCGTGTGCACCTTGTATCAATGCAAACACACCGGATAACTTAAAGGAAGTGATGAAACCTAAATAAGGCCTCTGAACTGTGAGGATGATAGGGTCATACTTTGGGGGGCAGATAATAGGCCCAGAAAGAGCAGCGAAAGTCAAATCTGCTGCTGTGAACCTGTTACCACAAAGGTAAGGTCTACCGTCGGATAAAGCCTCCTCGACCTGACAGCATTTACATTGGACTTGCGTTAGGTCTTTCACCGAGAAAATGATAAACATGACCTCAGGGTTTCTCAGAAATTGTGCCAAAGCAACAATTACCAAAACTGCACATACATGAAAAACTGACGTCTTCGCTTCGTGCAAAGAAAATCTTTCGTGAATAAGCACTAAGAACATGAGCCGTGCAACGAATCGACTTATGAGAACCAAGAGTATCGTTCATATGCTCATTCATATCTTGACAAAAAGAGAAAAGGCAAAAGTTCCAAACGAAGTAGATATATGGACAGAAGAAAAAACTTTCGTAGCATGTCTACAAAGGGCACCATTACTACAAGCTGAAGATCCTAGCCACGGGAACAAGAGAAAAACATGTAACATCGGAATCTTGCCCCTCCTAGGGCAGCGAAAGCAAATTTCCTGACCAATTCCAAATCGATAGACCAACATGGTCGTAGCTGCGATTATGTCCTTGACCTGGGATAGTCACCTGAGGCTATACTTAAAGTGGAAAAGAACCAGATGGATGAACATTACGTTACGAGGGAAATTCCTATCATCCAAGAACACTAGGGTCGGAGCCAACAGCAGGACAACAAGGCAAGCTCGAAAAGATGAGATTATTCCCTTCGAGATAAAGATGAGATAAATTCCTGACGGTGTCACACACCCAGGGCAGATATCGAGAAAGTAAGGCGCAGTAAGTTGTGTATCTAGGATAAAGGACTGTCTACAAATTCCAGAAGAAATTACGTAGATGCACATGACCACATAGTGATTGCAAGCAGCATGCACATAGAACTTGCCTAAATTGCAAGAAGGAAAAGTAAGAGACGAACATGAAAGATGGGAATACCCCATCAAGTTGAAGGGAGAGTGTTGACTATGGCAACCTAGGAAGGTTCCTGAAGCCTCATAAGTACTGTGGTGGTAACCTTACAGACTAGGAAACTTTATGTATGCAGCTTTCGCTTACTAAAAGAGGTCCATCCTCACTCCATGGCGGTATGAAAGCATTCAAGACGACCACTCCAATACTTGCTGTGAAAACTTCCGTCCATAAACCTCTCACCCGACTCAACACGACTATTTTAACCAAATAGATCAAGGTGCCCGTTTTTAGCACATAACAATCTCCCTTCCGAGGACTACATGTCCATGTCTCAAACGCTTCACGACCCAAGCTCAAGTTAAGCGGTTTGAAGAGTAATGCAATTGCCCAGCATCAATCAATACACATCCCAAATACTCCTCGAGTTGAACTTGGTTCAGATACAATTCAGTTTTCGAGCTATGACTGTTATCCTAATGAAGCAGAATAAGAGACTCCACATCCGTCACGGCAGTGTAAGTCTACTATCACGGGAAGTATTCAGTATTGATGACACGTAAAATCCAATCCTAAGAAGTAAATCTGTTTGAAATTTTACATAAATATACACATATATAGAACAATATTATGAACATTGAATAACGGAGCGGGATTGTAATTTATATACAACATATGCATTTCCGCAATGATCAAAGAATGAGTAAAATTACCTCCTGATAGAGTTCCTGGATCACTTTCAAAGAATTCTCCTTCGCATCAGGTTTGTTGCAGTAAAGGGCACCATATACCACTCTCCGCAAAAATGGCATGAAAAACCACGCAACAATCCTCTCCCACATTGGAGTTCCTGAAATTTATGAATAAATCAGCATTACAAATCGGGTGTACTAGTCGCAACTCAACAAGTACCAATCATGACACAAAAAAACATATTGGAAGTGAACCTTCAAGAGAGGAAGATAAACGTAGCTACTATTGCTATCAGTTGTCACACAGGGGTTGAAATGCTAACAATAAGTTTTTGAACATTGCAGATACAAACAGGCACTGCACCCTAAAAGTCTTAATGGTCTTCTCAGTTGACAGTCAACATAAAATATCACTATGATCTACACAGGAATGAAGATTCCAAACCTTGAGTGAGCATCCGGTAGCTGCACTTATCAAATATCAAATAGCAGTAAACCCAACGACGAACATGTGGCCCTAGCTTCTTGCCAAACTTGGTCTCTGCAAGAGCAAAAAGTTGCAGTAAGAAGTCAAGAGAAGAAGACTACGCAGAAGAACAGAGAAATTCAAAACTGGTACTACAGCTGACACTTTGCTTCACGTTGAGATCAAATCCGGGAAGAGCATTCAATTCCCAGTTCACTGCTCTTCCAATCAAATGCTGAGCCAATTCATCTTTCTTAAAAACTAGATTAGAGCTCCTGAGTGGACATCAAACACAAACAACAAATTCGTGATCTCACCCCAAGCTTGCACTGCCCTAAGCATCTCAGGATCTGACGGATAAAGACGATCTTCTTCTCGTTTGATGTTCTTCTCTGCAAAGCGCAGAATGTCTGGGGATTCTTGGAGCACCACTTGTTCTGAGTGACGACCCATCACTAACTTCGGACAGCTTGTCCCAGCACCAAGCCCCCTGCATTGAGTGAGAGGTTTGAAAATAAGTTCTCCTATCCGGAGCAGGTCGAACGGACTCCAATTGGCAAAGGTTCAAGGTTCAAAACGCTTAATTGATCACTTCTAAGACATCCGGTAGAAACATGACAATGGTACTGCATGGCCCCACCTGGTGAAGAACATGTGTAACAAGACAACGTGTTTGGATTCCCGGTAAACAACTGCTGCCCTGTCCAGAGCCCATCTTGCCTGCACAACAAGAAAAATCATAAGAATTACTTTGCGTGTTCAAAATTTAGCGACGAACAGAGGACCAAGAAGCATGGAATCAGAAATCTACTGTTTACAGTCCTGATTCCATGTTTTACATCCGCTTTCTTGTTGTCGAAAGTCACTTAGTCGACTGACAAAGTAAAAACTTTCACTGGCGAGATGTTTCTGACTGGTCTACTGCAAGCCATCCAAGTTGGAGGATCTCACCTTCTCACAGTAGTGGGATGCACCTGCCAGCCACCACCATCAGGAAAATGACAAAGCGGATCAGAAACTATCTAAACGGGGGTGATCGTGTACACGCAATTGTCATATGTGAGAGTAAACAAGAAGCCAAACCCTAGCTCCCCACAATCCAAGAAGGAAAGGTGAATAGTGATGGCAGTTGTGCCGATGAGAACAAATTGACTATTCCAAAAAACAAAACTGCACGGTTAAAACAAGCACAAGAGTTTATGGCAAAGAGTTCCTTGATTTCTGACTAGAACAGTCTTCACATCTCTCATCCACATTTCACGGTTCCTTGGTAGAGACAAATGTCATTTCGTCTCAGCACGAAAAAACTGTGCGCCTCGACATATCGGGGGCATATGGTCCTAGCATATAATTGTTGTTGTGTACTTCTTACGTCTTTCGATTCCCAGGGATGTTTGTTCAAGGAGCATCATCGTCAAGTGCAGAAGTATTGTCGTCATAATATTGGTACCGGGTCATGAAATCTACCCAGCTATGGATAATGACAAAATGATGATCGTACAGGGTATCGCTAGACCAAAAATTGAAAGGTTGGATCGTGTGAAGGTTCAACATTCTTCTGCAGTACAATCGAAACTACAGGAATCTTCAGCTGTTACGAGTAACAGCGCAGGATTGTGTGCTAAAAGAGTCGGTCCCGTCCATGGCGTCAGAAATCATCCACACGGTTCCGAAGTCGCCAGTTGCATTGTGACGCACAGCATTGCACACCACTATACGCCGACTAGAATGTTTGCAATCCTGACGACGAACGGCCGAAGCCGAATGGTTTTGTGGTCCTGCTCGAAATGGTGTGAGTGGTCTCGACAATTACACAGAGACTTTCACAGCGACAGAGCATGTATTGACTTCAGAATTTAGGTGAAGTATCGAGTGTGGGCAGCAGAGGGGGGAAGGTAGAGACCATCTGAGATTAAATGCATGTAGGTTCCCATTCGAGGGTTGACCGCAGAGGTCTCCTCTCGTGCCTAGCCTACGTTTCACACCGAAACCCTTCAGATGGATTTTGAAACCGTCTCATTTTGGCACTCGCACTTGTCCACAATCGTCAATCCTCACCACATCAATTCAATCCTCGGCCGCTGGCATACAGGAACAATGGCCGGCAGTCAAGAGATTTTCAACGGACGAAGCTGCAATCGCTCACTGCCACACACGCCATTGATGAAAAAGCAGGCAGGCATGGCAAGGAGAAGAAACCTATGGAAATGAGATGAAGCATGCTGCCTGATGACGAATGACCAGATCCTATCATACACCGGAATCGCTCAGGAAAGTGTTTCTGTTCGATACGAAGTCAGGCAAGGCGAGGCGGGAACGACGGAGACACTGGCTACTGCTGCGACGCTTCAGCCCAAGCCCAAACCCAAGCCCCCCCACTCCTCTTGTTGAAATCCTGCCAGAGTGCGCGCGTGCGTCTTCGCCTGCTCCGTCACGCGGTCCAGTCACTATCTCACTCACTCTCTCTCTCTCTATCTATCTATCTCTCCCCCCCTCCCTCCCCTCTCCCTCTCCCCCTCTGCCGTGCCCTGCGCTGCCCCCTGCCTTGTCTTTGCCTTGCCTCTCGTCTCGTCTCCTCTCTACTCCACTCCACTCCACTCCTCTGCTCCGCTATGCTTTCGTTCGCTTCGAGGATCTCTACGGCACTGCTGCTGCTGGTGCTGCTGCAAGTCTGTCGCTGTTCCTTCCTCCTGGTCTACGAGATGCGGCTGCTGCTGCTGCTGATGCCGGTCCGAGAACTTCTACCTGGATCACGAAACCGAGAAATATGCTTTGACTGCCACTAATGGCAATGGGCTCGCGATGGCATGCCGCGGCTGCTGCTCACGCGTGCTGGCTAACTCCGCTTTGCTTGGCTCCTGTCGCCCTCGCCTCGTGGACTGCTCGCTTCTCACTGGCCCCCAGACAAGCCTCCCGAACTACGCCCCCTGCCTCTGCCTCTCGAGCTTTGGCCCTCCCCCCCTCCTCACGAATATAGGTGCATGCACGGCCGCGCTAGTACGGAACCGCAGAATTAGCAGCCCGGCCCGGCCTCGGGGCCCGACCGCGCTTCCTCCCCCGCCCCCGCAACCCCCCAAACGGCCGATTCTGCAGAATCTTCCACGAGTAGGCGACCCATCCCCGTTCCTCCATCGCGGCTGCTGGCTCTGCATGTGGGCGCGCCACCAGTGGCCATGTGCTGTGACCGAACCTCGGACCGTCCACCTCCGGTCCTGAATGACGCAGACTCGGGATCGGCACGGAGCCCGCCGAACCGCTAGCCCAGGGCCAGCGGTAATCTGCCCCTCTCTGTACTGTACTTCTTCGTGTCCCGTGGATGGCAGGTCGGGATCGAGCCAAGTCTCCGGGGCAAGCGGACGAGGGGAGGGACAGGGAGGGGCAGAGTCCAGCTTATCCGGCTGTGGGGGCTCGCATCGGCAGGAAGGGCGGGGCAATCAGGTGATCGTTTCCGCAGAACGTCTCCGCAATTGGTCTGAACAGCCGCAAGAGGGCTACAATTCCGGGCTTTGTTTTATTTCCCGCCCCCATCTTCTTCGCCAGGGGCCTTCCTTTCTTTGGCCGGAGAATTCGCCCGGGTAGGATTAACGCCCAATTAATCAGCAAGATTTGCGTCAAGAATAGTGGGTCGATAGATCGCCTTGTTTGACCGGATATGAGATGGGACCGCTCTCCTCCTCGAAGTACGTGTCACTGTATGAACACCTTCGCTGCAAGCACCACACCCCTCGCACTAATGTTCCATCCGCCAAATGTTTCTAGAAGCTCCAAATACTCGCCATTTTCATAGAAGTGCGAGACCATTTAGCACATGGTCCTACCTTGCCCTCTCTATCTGTTCGCGTCATGACAGTTCCTGTGTGATTATCGATTTCTGCAAGACCATTAAAAATGCAACCAACAGAACAATAATCATTGAATATCATAAACCGATATTATACATTCATCCATTGGCATGAGCTAGCTTTTCATTTCACATTACTCAAAGTACATGAGTCTCCATGCTGCTGACAGTCTACACCAGAGGGCGGCCCGATGAACCAAGCCCAATGAATTGTTTGAGAAACTAAACATGTCTCAATAGGGTTTTTAGGTACATGTCCATAGCAGTGCGAGAACGTGTTGTGATAAAGAGTACATGGATATTAATTTGCATCATCTTTCAACACTTGTAATTATCAAAGCAAAGCATGAGGCCAAAAACTAAGGTTCGATCATGTCATCAGCTCACAAATAGTTATGCCTAGTGTATATGGAAAAATAAATTGAGTTTGTGCATTCATATTTTTGTATTACGTGTAATGACATCATCTTCAATACATAATTTCATTGAATGATGTGAAAATTTTATTTAGCTATAAATTATTCTTTTATGATTAGAGCATGTAGCTTGATTACTTTAAATGATAAATTTTAAAAATTTTAAAATAAATAAATCATGAAAATCTAATATTTCACAACCGTGTTTATTATATTTTTCTAATTGATCAATAAGATGTTTTTCATTCAAAATAAAGAATTTGTCCCATATTCTATGACTGTTTTAAGTTTTTGAAGTAAAAAATATTGTACATGTCATCTAAAACTAAGTATTACATTGAAATTTTGTTTAATATTCTGACCTTCCAAAAAAAATCCAGTTTACATTTATACTTACATTTTCTTAATTATGGAAAATTTTAAATCATTGGTAAATTAAATCAAAATTTCTTCAATGAATAATGTATATACATCTTTCTTGTTTTAACTTTTACAACTTTATTCCTGCTGCTTGGGGGTAATCGATTGCTTGATATTTTTCGGATTCAGTATGATTTATAATTTTATTTATTGAGAAAATTCTATTATAACAGATATTCATCATGTAATACATAGCACACTGTCATAAATTCTATAAAAAATGAAAAGAATACCGACAAGACAAATATTTTTTTTAAACTATGCAACCGTATGTTTACATATGTTCATTTTTTCTGTTTCTTTGTATTCCGAAGGCAAAATAAAAAGAAAGCCGGAGGAATCAAACTTGACTAGAGGTTACATCTGGTTGAAGGAGGCATATGTCATCGAGCCAATGCTGATGCTTGGAATCCATGGACACAAGGTCTAATTATGAATAAAACCAAACCATGTAAATATCGCTCACGACGTACAAAAGCATCAATACATTCCTGAACATGTAATGGTGATAAATTTCATTATTTACTCTCCCTCATGTTTATGTTGTCAGTCAATCTAGCTGGATCTTCTAACATGGGCAGAGGCCCATGTCCCACTCATTTGTACCTTAATGCAATGGTAGCATTAAGACAAGACAAAGCTCCACAACGTTTTGTCTTGTCCAGCTTTAATCATACTCCGTCATTCTGCTAATCGCGGTTGTTTTGCTCCTGCAATCTCCTCCTATGGACTTCTTTGAACAGATCTCTCATGCGGGTGAGCTAGTTGTCTTTTGTTTCTGATGAAGAGCTCTTCAGACTGATCGTAACCATGGTTAAGATGACTTCCATTGTTCTTCATCATCACGGTTCATCTAGCTGTGGAGCTAACTGTCTTAATCTGACGAAGAACTCTTCAAGCTCATTCTCGTAACTATGTCATAAGTTACGAGGGTTGGGATTGGAGACTGTCAACAGTATCTGTTATGTCATGCTGAAGATTCCCAAGGGCGTTTTTACGTTGTACTGCATGATATAATGTCTCGTTACATTGTATGAGAGTCGAATGGATAATTCTCCCGAAGATGAAAGTTGATTAGTAAGGTAAGTTAAGTGTTGAGCTGTTATTGCTCGCATACACTGTTTCTAGACTGTGTTCCGCATAATCAATAAGCGCTTGTTTGTCATGAGATTTGATCACCGTCCTCAAGAATGATAATGACATTAATGATTGTTTGAGCGATTCTCATCTCCATGGCCAAAAGGCCGTCATCGGTAAACGTCTAGTGGAATTATAGTGTCCTGTTTGCTAGTTGGTCTCAATTCTCCGTCAATTTGCTGATTGCATAGATTATGGTTGTTCTGCAGGTTGTTCTTATGTAAGGCGTCAGGAGCTTCTCTCGGAACAAGCTCAAACCAATGTCATTGACTCGTTGAGTTATTACTCTTCAAAGAGACTCTTGTTTAGTGTCATCGGACAAGAAACATTTAAAGTAAAATTTTTTCTATTTTTTCATGTTTCAATCTTGATAAGATGATATAGAATTCTTGACAGTAAGTAAGTAAGTATATATATATATATATATATAATTAATAGGATTCAATCAATGTACGAAATTAAATGTAGATCTGATATGAGTGTTGTGATAGAAAGTTATCTCTTAACATGATGCTAGTGTCAAAAAAGAACTTAACAATTATATAGTGATTTGATTCCAAACCTGATGACTATTCATACGATAAAGTTTTATTTTATTTTCGAGTAGAATAATTATTTTCATGTGCTTGAAAAATTGATCAAGAACATACGTTACATAGCTATAAGGGTAATAATATCTGATATAATATATTTTAAAATGTATGAGTGCATAGGTAGTTATCAATAATTTTAGATGGGATATTATTCAAACTGTTTAGTATCGACTTAGTGTAAAAAAATCGATATGAGAAATATTATATACTAATATATTAATTATTATCAAGCCAAACTACTATTTACAAGTTAGGTTTCATCCTTGACTAAACTAAATATAAAAGTTTTGTATTCTCAGTGTCTTGGTTGTAATTATTCTAACTAGCTAAAATTTATATTCGTAGTGCAAGAGATAGAGGGAATAAGGATGGGCAATCATGCTGTATCATGACTTCGATCTGCGAGCGAAACCATTTTTAGCTCATATTCAAGCTCTGACGTGAGTCAAGCGGGGGATGTTATAATATACTGTACATGATATTTTTCATTAGACAAGGCCATACTTGACTCGATCCAAAGAGATGCTCAGCAAATCCCGGGGCCGATCTGTTTGGAAGTGCGAATAAGACGAAGAAGAAACCATCCCATCTTTAATTAAAATGATTGCCGTTCTTTTTTTCTGATCCTTCTTACATTTGCCCACGACTCCAAATGAAGCCTATCGCACCGAAGGAAGGCAGGGGCTGACGTTTGAAGCCAATCGAACCAGAAGAAGAATTTTACTGCACGTGTGCCCATTCCGATAATAATAAAATAAAACTCTATCCGAAGCACTGAAACGGATGGGAATGCCATCAACTCTACGAGAACGGGAAAGAGGGAATCGCGCCAGAAGATAGTCAGCAGCAGGAGAACCAACAGGAATAAGAAGAAAAACACTAACCCACTAGAAGACCAGTAACGTGACGACTGTATGTTGCATAGCCCCTACTTCACAATAAATATCGGTGCTACGAAGTCTGCAGGCATGACGAGAACACAGGAGACAACATGAAGCAATCGATAGCAATGGGCATGCAAGAAGGTACGGAAGATCTTTGACTACGGTAGCAAAACGTCGATGCCAACAACTTGAATGGACTTTGCCACAAATTCATTATCCATGGGGGAGCCCCCAAGCTTATGGACCCTACCCACACATTTTTTGCCGAAGACTTTCACACCCTCAGCGAATCAAGTCCACACGGTCTTCATGGAGTTCCAGGGCTGACAGGCGACATCCCTGAGCCGTGTATTGGTGCGTCAATGTTTGCTATTCTTCGCTACTGAAAATCTAAACTCACTGAGGCAAAACCTTAGCCTAATCGTAAGCCACTTTTCTGATGCAATACATTTCCTCGATGTCTAGTGTATAAGCTGTGTGCCTTCCAATAGCGCTGTGAAAGCAGGAAGCAGGACTAGTCACTCAATTACTCGAATTCTCAAAAGCTTCACATGAAGTTCTGTACCTGCTGTCCTGCTGATCCAGGTATTTTTTCTGCAACTTATAATTGGAGTAAGCATTCAGATTCTGTCCTGTGAGGGAGGTAAGAACTGCAAAATAGCATTGGACACCATGCCAGACACCCTGCCATGCCAGGCCAGGCCCGGCGCTTGTCACTGCTGCAGCTGCTGGAGGCGTGCGGGCGGCGCAGGCATAGACAGAACGATAAATCGCTTGAGAAAGGCAGTTGTCTAGAGGTCATAAGAGATAGTGAGCGCATGAGAGGAACACGTTGTAATCAACGACTTTATATTGAATGAATATCGAGCCGAAGAGGTCGAATCAGATGATGGGAGTAAGTCTGTCCGGTGGTGCTGGAGTCATCCCATCACCCCTTCGACTGAAGGACAACGTTCAAAAGGACAGGAAGCCTTCGGCTTTCAACATTTGAGCAAAATGTAAGTTGTAACTGTAGTTCGCCGTATATGGAATCTGAGGGTCAAGCCCCTTGACACCACAGAAGCCTACAGAGGTCCGGATGTAGCAAGAAGGGCAATTTTCGAGCTTTTATTTGTTCTCAGGCCTTTCTGTAATAGAGGCCCGGTTTAGTACAGAGTTCACGCAGTTGTACGTAATCTTTTCCGTATAGCTCTTAAGATATCTGGGGTGAAGTAAGAAAAAGCAATGTTGATCCCACGTGCCAAAACAAAATAATTCTCATGACAGACTTGGCTCCTTCAATCTCATTACAGACTTGGCTCCTTCTGCAGGGTCCAGAAGATGCATACATGAAGTGTAAATTCTACACTATATAACACAGGCTTAGGCCTAAAGAATTTGATAGCAATTCCCTGATTAGGCTGCATAAGAAACACAAACAATGGGAGGTGTTGATTTTTTCCCGAGTTTACAGCGAAGGACGGACGGATGCTGCCTTTGTACGGCTAAGAGTTTGATTGTTTGCAACAACTGTGGCAGTCAGTTGGAGGTGGTCAGGTCTCACCCAAGAGACCAGCACAGAGCTGTGCACGTTCATTTCTCAGCATCGCAATCTCCATGCGGATCCCTTCGTCTCCTTGGCCGGCTCCTTCGGCAATGGTCTGCTCCAACGTCGCGATGATGCGCTCTATACTTTTGATCTGTTTGCCATGAACACGCACACTGTTGGTGTCTGGAAGCAAGCGCTCTGGTTGGTCCTAGCCTTAGCAGAGGATGGCAGCGACAAGGGGCCCACCGGCGGACATCATTGGCTTTTGTTGATCTTGCTATCCACACACAGCACTGGGTTTCGTGAAGAAGGTGACCTACCTTGCGGTGAGGCCATCTGCGCATGCCGTTTCGTCGACAGATCTTTTTCAGTACAGTGGGACAGATGCCGAGCTCTTTGGCCGCTGCATTAATTGGGAGATGAAAATGCTGGGCCAGATCAGACATTTTCAGCTTTCCTGTCCTCTCCCTCTGTCATTCATGAAGTTCATGAAGTTTAGCACTGGCACTCATTGCAATGTACGACACAGGGTCCTTAGCACCTATGATTTGCAGAGGGTGATAAACAACCATACCCATGGCCTTTCAAGGTTAATCAACGTAGATGTGGGATTCATAACATGAATCAGTGTTGTTCTAAGTAACTGCTGGTGTGCGCTTGTGTGGGAATCAACTTTTTGTTTCTCAAGCTCAGTGTCATTTTGGTACGATATCTTTGACCAGACAATATTCATCGGCGTCATAAATCATGTCCTCATTTCATTTAACTCCTTATCGTTCCGACCATGGTAAGCGAAGGTGAGGATTCGTTACAGACAGGAGTTTTAGTTTCAAAAAGATCCAAAGTAAGAAAGTTCCTGCAACCTGTGCCGCCGCATTGCTTTTCGGAGGCTTAACAGGTGTCATTGCGGTCTCCGTGTGCTCCCCGCTGTCCATGCTGCCACTCCTATGGAGTTTGCTTTGACCTGGCGATTATGATTAAGACGTCAATTATCGTATCTGATGTGGTTGGTGTGGACGTAGACAACGAGGTGGATGTTTCAGGGTTTAGTAGCTCTTCAGCACGAGCAAGAGCCAATACAACTCGTTTGGATGCAATGATCTCATCAGGATCCTAATCGTCAGTATCGACCTTTATCTGCACTCAAATTCGGTGGGAACAGAGGTGACTAGTGTCTTCTTTCCAAATTTTACAATTTCAAATTACTCCGACATCCAGTTTCAAACTTTTGGCTCAACGGAAACTAAGATCTCAGAAATTCACTAGGCATGACTCACAATCAACAAATCATTGTCTTCTACGGACGCTGGCCGGTAACAGCAGGAAAATTTCATCGTAGGGGATTACAAGAGCAAATACATTCAACGAAGATTTAAGGTCATGCTCAACCACAGCGTAGCCTCACCCTCTGCAAATGCTAAGGAGTAGTACCAACAATCAGAACGCAAGGACCACAACAAGATCCTACTCCATTCCATCATATTCTCTGCAACTTTTCTTTTACTTCATTCTGGACTTACATTGAGAAGATTTAAAGCGTACTTGTGATCTGCTCTAATCTAAGTATATCTATTTTACGAAAAGGGAGTTGACCTCTGCCCTAACGCTTTCTATCAAGCCTCTAATTTCTCTGTACAGTATAAAAAGATTTAAGGACCCGTACGTGATCGCACCCACAAGCTACAATTTTCCTACCCAGTTCAATGTTTGATTCGTGATGGAATTTTGCTTCCGGATGTAAGACAGTATTCTGCCGAGAACTCTATATAAGTTTCACAATGCGTGAAAAATCTAAAAGTCTGTATCGTATACTGACAATTCACGTGCATGTACATAAGATCATACCAAAGCAGCTGTTCATATTTTAGCAAAATGGTGAACCAGGGGATTACGATAACTGAATAATCTGTAGAACAGCAAAGCTTTTTGATCGACAAGCAGGAATAGCTGATGCAAAAGATAAGGACTTTCCTGAAACAAAACAAAAGACAGCTGCTTATGGGGACCGCATCTGAAATAAGGTGAAAAGACTGACTTACCGGAAGAAGTACAAAGCATGTCAGGTAGGGAACTATGACCCAGTTGCTTGGGAAGACGGATTGCAGACGCAACCATGACACGATCAGATAGGCAAGATCCCTCCGTACCAGCTGAGAGAGAATCATGTCGTAGAACAAAACCTTCCTTCCTCCGCAGAAGGCTGTACTGCAATAAAAATTGCTTTACATACTCTGCATTTCCGACTGGGAACCTGTGTGCGGCCAAGAGAAACCACGAATGATAAATGGAGATGATCAGGATATCCGCAAGTGCCGTCACCTACCGACTCATAGTGAAAAGGCATAGCTTAGGAACCTTGGCGACGTGCTTCCATGGCTGGAAATTAGGAAGGAGATGAGAAGTTATCCTAGAGCATAGATTCTCAGATCTTGACCAAAGAAGAATCCACATCGTTTCCCAAACAAGTGCTCGATACTGCTCCGACGTCGAAGGTCTATTCTGATCATTCTAGTATGTGGCTCAAGGATCTGACTTACTCAACCATCTGTTGTTCCAAAGTGGCTGGAAATCCATCATCAATACAAAATCGGGTCTGCAACACAGCGTGGTAGCTTTGACCATCACACCCATGAATCTCAAGCTTTGTATCTTGAACACCTGTTCCAAGAAAAAGCAGAATGTGAGCAACGAACGCTCAGCCTGCTGGATGTGCTCATTCCTTGCTGCATCAGACATTGAGTTGGGGAGAGACTCCAGAGGAGGAAAACGTATGGAGTATAAGAACAGACCAAGCACATAGATTGATAACTGGATACACCTACTTAAGCAGCCCCGGTGACACCTCAAACTAGGGAACCATCAGCAGACACAATTGCCAAGGGCACTAGTCATATTCGCGCTGCTTCAGGACAACAGGCCTAGAAGAGTTGTTGGTACTCGTTACGCACATCGATCGTGCACACATGGCGAAGCCACCATTCAAGTTCGTGCTCACTTAGGACTTTGCTTGTGTGGTGCACCTGGTACGAGGCACATTCAAAAGGTAGTAAAGCAGATGGTTTAAAGGAGTCAGCAAGTAAACCATTAGAGTGGATGATGCGGCGCAGAATTTGACAAGAATCACACTGCAAAGTGTTGTGTTGTTGTGATGAGTTGGTCTGAAGGGCCCCTTCTCTTGGCATGCTCCAATCCATGGGTGTGCTAGGACACATCAAAGGATTTGCACCACCAGAGGTCGAGGCCCCATGCTCCATACTGGCTAGCGCACGATCTTCTACTTCCATGAGCCCGCCTGGCTCACCACCCAAGTATGATCCTTGTGTGAACATGGGAGGCGGAAAGTTCAAAGGGATTCTAGTTCCAGCGGAGTGGTATGGCACATTTATCCTTAGAGGAGAGATGGGATGATTCAAAAAGTTCTCATGAGTACCACTGAAGAGTGCAAATGAATCTTTGGCAATATCAGCATCGATCTCGTCAAATGCGATCAATTCTCCGTTCAGAGTATCGTCTACAGACGTTCCTTCACTTTCAACTCCTTTGTCAAACAAGAGTGCACTGAAGTCGGGCTCTGAGCCCTCACCCCTCGGATTCCTACGCGAGTTGAAGGGTGGGAGAGGATTGAGCAAGTTGAATGTAGGAGTGGGTATGTTAAAGCCTGCAAAGTTGAAAAAGGGCTCTTCGGAGGTGCTGTCTTTGGGAGTCTTTAGGAATTCAGATATATCAAAACGAGGACTATTGAACGAGTTGAGGACGACCCCATCACAGTTCGGAGACCCTAGCTGCCCTCCCGCCATGCTCTCTGATCACTTGACGATGCACCACTCCTCAAGGATCGTTGACGGAATCTAAATCTGCTCCACACTCTCGTCAAGCACCATCCGGCGGTGATCGAGAGCCACCCTGCACCACAAGCACGGTCACCGGGTGGTATTCCCCCAAGCAACCGAACCTGGAGAACTCCATGTCACACTAGAAGAAGATATGATGAGAGACGTCGAGAAACAGGATCTCAACTCCATGTTTTCCACCAGCAAACCACTTGCCTGACGTTTATCATGCTAGTCACAATGTCAGGTTTAAAGTTGGGAAGAGGCAGAGCCAAGCCGCGACTCAGTTCAGATAGTTGGAGGAGTGAAAGTGTAACTTCTTCAGTGGAGCACACGACTAGCTCAGATTTGATGCTGTAATCGGTCCAAAAGTACATGAATTTAGAATAATTTTATATACAGGAGAGTGCGAGGAGCGACTCTGGACCAACAAAACAAACCACAAAGACACAAACATACGGGAGGAAGATATGGGAATGGAGGAACTGTACAACAATTCACTTATGTTTCAGTGGCTTATATCGTCCAACTTTTCTCGACAGACCTTGCAAAACTGGGGGCCGGAACACAACCCATGGGCCAGGCCTGTCAACGAGTGCCCCTCGCCAAACCAAGCTTATGACGGAGATCAGAGAGCGTGGCAATATACAGCGCAATAGCCTGAGATACAACAGAGGACCAACGGATCCACGAAAGCTGTGGATCTTCAGAAGACGCAGAACGAAATGCATGGAGGAAAGAATGATCCGTGGGTGATGTGATGTGTTGAGGTGGGGGGGAATTCAGGCACACCACCGTTCGCTGCTCGGAGAACGAGAGGCGGACACGAGAATCTTCTATCTGCCTAGACTAGAGCCTGCGTACTACTCGTGCGTCTGGCTTACAGTGCGGAAACGAGGAGGAGGAGGAGGAGCAGCAGCAGTGGCAAAACTGAGCACTGACCACGAAGCGTCACTCAAGTAGGTCTTGCGAAAATCACAAAGCAAGCGAATGGAACGAAAAGTCGAAGGGACGGCATAGCAACTCGTAATCACACACGGAGCACTCGGAGCATAATCACATGGACGAAAATTTAGGATCCAGAAATTAACTACACAAACGGAATGGAGGCGGTTTTGGAAAAGAATACCACGTTACATAAGGGCAGCCAACCCCAAGGAGTGGCGGCAGGCACCCAGAGATGTTGAGGTGCGTCAATGCAACACCGACGAGATTGAGATCGAGAGAGTTGTGAAGCACAACAACTGCTCAGGTGACAAAGCCCGGCACGAGAGTGGCAAACATCGGACTCGCTCACTGCTCACAGATCTCCGAGGCAGGAATGCAAGCCCGCCGAGACATGACATGCCGGGCGGCCCCACAATTGCCTGATCCCCACCCCCACCCCCACCCAGTCGAGATACAACGGGATGGCCCCAAACGGGCGCCAAGATCTCTGACCTGGAAAAATTCAAATTCCTGAACAACCGATTTCCGGGACCCGGGGCTCGGACGACAATCGAGAGCACCAAGCCCCGAGCACGGCCGCACTGCGAGTCCCGCAACTGGCAGCCCAATGGGCTCTGATACGGAGGCGAGAGATAGAGAGGGAGGGGACGGGACGGGACGGGGAGAGGGAGGAGGGACGGGGCTGGCCAGAGATGGAAGGGTAAGATGAGACGGGGCCAGCGAAAGAGCGAACGAGACGAAAGGCGAGACGGCGGGGGGAGCGAGCGAGCGAGCGAGCGAGGCAGGGGGGGCGGGGGGGAAGGGAAGGGAAGGGGAGGGGAGGGGAGGGGAGGAGAGCCGGAGAGGCTGAGGGAGGCACCTGATGAGGCGTGAGGCGAGCGCTGCGGGCTGCGGCGTGCGCGCTGCCCCTGATACCTCGCTCTGCTGCCTTGGATCTGCTCCCGCTGCTCCTCCACTCTCCTTCTTCCGCCCTGCCTGCCGGCAATGCCCGGTCAGACGAGCTTCGGCATGCAGGAATGGCAGTTACCAATGCTGCGCTCCGCTGCTCTTGCCGCTCGGCCTCGACCTCCGCCTCCAATTTCGTCATGCCGCTCGGCTCCTCCCTCGTCCCGCTCGCTGCACGCCGCGTCGACATTCGCATCCACGTCTCCTCTCTCTCTCTCTCTCTTTCTCTCTTTCTCTCCTTCTCTCTCGCTCGTGCTCGAATGCATTGCTCCCTCGCCCCGGCCGGCGCTGGCACCTCGAGTCCGTCTGTCTGTCTGTCTGTCACTCCTCGTGCTGTCGATTCGTATGTCCTGCGCCATCAGCCCCTGAGCCCCTCTCCGCCTCCTGATTCGGCCGGCCTTTCTCTGCCCCACCTCCCGCGGTTTTCCACTGGCGGCGCTCGGGGTTCCGATTTGGCCCTCTCGCTCGTTGCTACGTTCTCACCGCCGTCTACGTTATCCGTCATAACCCGATTCCTTTCGCCCAGTTTTCCCATCTGCGAGGAGAATTTCGAGTCACAACCGCCCTCGTGTGTGCTCGTCCCTCGTCTCGGGCAGGACCCGTTCTCTGCTCGCGAGTGCGTTGCCCTGTTTCTCGAGGCAGGACTGGTCGACTCAACCCTGTCCATGCTGCTCGGCTGGGAGAGGCACGGCACATGAACGGGCGACGAATCACGATCATCGAGATTCGATTTCAGTCTTGTGTTTCGCCTCCAAGATAAGCAGCCTCGAACTCGGACAGACTGAAAGTATGGCCATAGTCTGAAATTTCCGTCTGCATGGCCAGGGGATCTCACGTTCGAAGTTTTTGGGAAATTATGTTCGAGCCAAAATTTTGTAAGCAGCGTACGACGTCATCTCACGCTTAAGACCAGCTCATGAGTGAGGATTGGAAAATGATGACAGTCAAATTTCGGAAAAGTAGGGGAAGACCCCTTCAAATCCTACAGGATGAACATGTGGCCAGCTCTCTGAATCACTAAGTGTCCATGTGACTTATGCATGGATCTCTTGTAAAGACGTTACCCATGAAATATCAATCACATTGTATGATGATTATCTCAACCTCCCTGGTTCGTATACGAATTGATGAAGATAATTTGGAACTATAACGTCGAATATGAAATGTTCACCATTGTGATACTACTGGAGCCTAGCCCTGCGTTCCGTGTTTGGTTTCATTCTTGACAACAAGTATCTTCTTATGGATAACATTTCCAGAAACATCATGCTTGGAAGTATGTTGTGATGCAACTAACATATCCAACCTACGTGCAAACAACATGAGACTCCGAAAAAGCATCACGTGATTGCATCTCTGATTGAAGAAGCATCTCTAGATTCATTTACATCCTGAAGCAACCCAAACACCTTCCGAAATCACTCCATATATACGTTCCTGCGTGAGGTGCATGTGGGCTTTGATGTCCAAGACACTTCCGACCATGTTAGGTGCTCATAATTTTACATTAAACCTGACAATTCCTTGAGATTGTGCCGGTACCGATGTTGTGATGTTGTACAACGTTATACTGTCCTGTGAACTAATAGCCATCATATAATACACTTGAGGCAAGTGACTGAAAGTAAGGTTGCGTAATGTCGAAGACCTGGTGTCAATTGACGCCGGATTGTAAGTTTTTCAAGATCGGGTCTGAAGCAGAGCTTAGATCTCACGCCACGATTGCAACTCACGGATCCTGGTCAGGTGCGCGGACGATTGCAGAGCAAGTGCTGATGATATCCAAGTTCGTAGCTCCGACAACTGTTGACCGAGAGCAAGTGCGGGAGCAGCAGAGAATCATTCTCAGGCCCGAAGTCAAAATCTTTGGTCATTGGATTTGGACGAGTTTCTCTGTGTTCAGGTTTATCTCGTCCAACTTTAATCAAGGCTGACCATGCAATCATTGTCAACTTCGAGGACTTCTTTCACCACTACGTGATCCGTGTACCAGTCATTTGTATCCGACGTTGAGATCGCCGTATCCAACTCCAACATTTAGTGTTGTCCGTAGGCCTGGAGGTCTCGCATCTCGTATTCAGAAATTCAAACTGGTCAGAGTAACAGTATTCAGTAGATCAAGTCCAAAGGTGTGCAGATTTTGGGGATCCTCTTGTGTATAAGGTCGTGTTCATATGTTCTCGGGTAAAGCACTCATGAGCATGTGCTCTCTTTACAACTGGCTCTTGAAGAAATCTGTGCCAATACGCTGAACTATATCATTCGTGTGCAGTTCAGAAATTCTACTGCAACGAATGCTTTGTCTCAAGCTCTAAGTTGTAGATATTTCAAAACTTCACCTTCAGAGACGGACCATGTCGTTGTTTCATGTGCTCTCTGGGTTAACACTGCGAGGTATTAAGCGTTCTTTCCACAGGTTGTACGTTGTATTCATGTCAGCCAATTTATAGATTTGGAAAGATATTTGTATACTTATATCGTTTTCTTAATTGTACCCAACAATGACAAGTTTGTACAGCACAATCACATCTGAAGGCAGGTTCAGAGTTTTACCCTCTCGTTTACAACAGCCTGCATGCATATTTCGCCCTTGACCACGAAGAGATTGCAATACGACATAGCACTTGGAGGATGATGCGATCGCTTCAGATTCCTCTCATCTTCCAGAAGCTCAAACCGTCAGATCCAATACACTGTTGAAAATCACCAGCATAAAGAATGTAACTGAACTCTGAAAATAAGCATACTGATCATTCGCAGTTTGACGGTCAAGTAAGAGGTAAGACCATATACAGAAGAAGACGACGGACCTAAATCTAATCAGCAACTCCGATCGGATCCGACCCCATCTAACGTGACATAACATGACCTTGGCATGTTTTAAAATTGACGAGTTAAACCTCATACTCTCTCAGAATGCACTAAGTCGTCGTATGTTGCCTTCCCAAATCCCGTCTCCCGCGGTACAACAGAGCTTTTGTGCTTTTGTGCACGATCATAAAGTGCAGAACATACTGCTGGAAATGTGCCCAGTGTATGTCTGCGCACAACGAGCAGAGAGTGGAATATTTTTGCTTCGACGCTAAGTTGTGGAATATCTAGAATGATCAACAGCAGCATTCGTCACATTGTCATTTAAGATCTCCACAACCGTAGAAACGAAAAGATAAGCTTGCATTCTGGCGTTCTGTCTAGGACACCGAGAAGATGGGGTGCGACAAGAGCACGTAACCAAAGTTCCAGAAGACAAATGGTCCGAAGTTTCAGGTATCAGGTTGACCATATTCAGTGAGCGAGTTACGTCCAGATCCGTTGTCGTGAAAGAGAGCACATTCTCCTCAACATATCATCCTCTCGAGAGTCTCATCCCCTCCCACCCCCCCCCCCCCCCCCCCCCCCCCCCCCCCAGGCCTCTCTGCATGGTCCGGAGATTTTGGACTCACTGACTGCCGCAAAGTCTGGCGCACAAACGACAGACGGCCAGACACGGGCTAATCAGAATCAAGGTGGAACTCGTACCGGTGGATTCCAGCAGCACAGGGCAGCAGCGCAGTGTCCGAGGATGAACGTGTTGTCCCATTGGTGCCGAGTCGCAACTGTGCAGCTCTGACTTCGATCTGTCTTCATCGCCCACTACAGTGACATATCTTCCCCTGGCCCGCATCTTGCACTGTGGTCACGGAATCGGACCACCCGCATCCACCACCATATCCTGGTCTTGTTTGTTGGACGGAGGAAAGTCCAAGGGGGAAACTATCGCTCTCTCGTATGCCGTATTGCTCTCGCTCTCAGGATCCTCGACCACGGATGGCATGTGCGAATATACTATACACCCAGCCGTGCGAAAATGACGATCGATGGCTGGAACACCCTGAAAACAAAGCCGGCGTATTTGTACGAGCCCTCCCTTTTTTCTGTCTCGAGCGAGGCAGAGAGGGTGCCTGACGACAAGAAGTGGTCTATTCTGAGGTCGAATATTTGGACCGTAAATTAGCTGTTGGCATGATCCGGAACTACAGTGGCTCGAGGACTGACAGGAAGGGGAGGAGAAGAGGGAGCGGGAGGGAGAGGAGGAGTTTCGCATGTCGCTAGAACACCGTGGTCAAGGGAGACCGAGGTCCCTCTCTGCATGTCTGCGAGCTACGTGATGGACAGGGGATTGGCTCCACATGGCTCTCAGTCATTAGGCCGGAACTTCGAGCGCATGCACTGGAACGATCGCACGATGTGGCGCTGGCATGTGCATGCATGCATCGTGCTGTTCTGTTTGTGAATTCCTATCGCGTTTCCACATATTGCTCATTTGTTCATATCGAGTAGAAGTGGAGGATGCCATCAGGAATGACACCGGCAGGTTGTCCTCCAAGCTATATGAACGAACGGCGGTCCAGAGGCTGCTCACCCCAAATAACTAAGTTATTTCATGGCTGGAGGAGAAGTACTCATCAAAGTTTATCTTTTGGACAGAAGTTGTTGATGGAGGAAATTGGGACTTGCTATCAAATATTCTCTGGGAGGAACGAAAGGATACTCGTGATTTATCTAACACCGCAAATATCCACTTGAGATTTAGATGTTAATGGAGATATGGAGACACTAGGTCCAGTGAGTTTAAGTGATACGAAGCTGCCCATGAAGTGACACATCATACCGCCTTACGACGTATTATACTTGTAAGACAACATGTAAGCGATGACCACCAAATGAGAGAGCAATTTTTATCTGCCTGCCAAAGTGAGTGAGTAATGTTACATGTAGTGGATTGTTACCCAAATTAGTATCTTGATATCAGTTTATATCTTGATATGTCAGTTTTTCCTCACTCTATGTACACATTAATGTGGCTACAATTAGAAGGCTTGCCATAGATTATTTAGGAGTAAATCAAGGGTAGTTTACTGCAATCTTAATGCATAGTGCTTTTATAGAGTTTTTCAACATGGATGCATCGATTGCAAAAGTACATATTATATTTTCAAGTGTACATTGAACTTTAATTTTTTAGATCATCTCAAATGCATACATCCTTAGAGGTAAGACTAGCTAGTGAATCAATTTTGAGCTTATCTCTTTCATCTCGAGCTTCAATATTTCACATAATCCAGTATTCTATCAGCAGGACCCTTTAAATGAGTAAGTCACTGTTCTACATTTTACGAATGGTCCTTGAAATTTTTATTTCGTGAAAAGAAATTTATTCCACAAAGCTTATCCGTACAATTCCAGTACTTTGGCTATGTAATACTTATACTTATAGCATGAAATGAAAATTGTTAGCCATGTATAGATAAGTATACCTTAGACTATTTGACTATCAAGTTTCATCGTTTTGGCTTGAAATTCAAGATTTGAAGTAAAGGTCATGATCTTCTTTTCATTTGTTCTTTTTCTTAATCTTTCATAGTGATTTTAATATGATTCATACAATAGTCTTGTGACATATTTAACATGAAAAAATCATAATTTGAGTCATCTATATATATCATTGATATGATGAAATACTTCAAGTTCAGACAGATTATTATCTAACTTTCATCTTTTCCTTATTTTTTTCATCGTGTCAATGATAAATTTTTATAGATTGCTGGGATGAAGTTTAGAAGGTTAATGAAGACTAAGAGCAACAAGCAAGAACTCCCATTGAGTCTTTCAATGGAAG